TCTTGTAACGCCACATAGCCTCTTCAGGATTTTTCAACCAACCCATCACCACTTTGGAATCCCCCTTGATTGTTAGGTGTTGTACCCCTAGCTGGTTTGCAAATTGCACCCCTTGTACAACAGCTAAAAGTTCTGCCCTGATGGAGTCCCCAATTCCCAAGGGACCCGAGTAGAGCAACCAAATCTCTCCCTTTTCATTTCTCAAAGCACCCCTCATTTCGGATAATCTCGGATTACCCATGCTACTTCCATCAAAGTTCAACTTCAGTGATCTTCGGATGGAGGAGACCAACTTGTAATTGAATAAGAGATTACAAGAATGCCCTTAGTAGGGCGGTTACTTAAGTAGCTGAGCAATTACAACTTAAAAAACATAAACTAATGGGCCTAAAGCCCAACAACTTCCTAACTTAACAACTTAAAAATAAGAAATAAGAAATAAACAACTGGGCCCAATAACTAGAAATTGGCTTAACTCAACACTCCCCCTCAAGTTGGGAGTAAATGTCACACATTCTCAACTTGCGTAGATCATGCTCCAGCTTGTTTATTGCAAGACCTTTTGTGAGAATATCAGCAAGTTGCAGATCAGAAGCAATTTATGGGAGACAAACTTTTCCAGAAGTCACCCTTTCTCTGATGAAGTGTCTATCCACTTCAATGTGCTTTGTCCGGTCATGTTGAACTGGGTTATGGGTATAGTTGTCAAGGCATCACCTAGGCGACTAGGTGCCCTTGGTTGGGTGCCTCGCACAAACGCCTGGACTCTTAGCAACTAGGCGCCCGCCTAGGAAAAGAAAGAAAGAAAGAAAGAAAGAAAGAAAGAAAGAAAAGTTGTTTTTTTTCTATTTTCTCTTTACTTAAATAAAATAGAAACTCCATCCTTGTTTTTTTTTCCATTTTACTTTCCATCTTGAATATTTATCATATAAAGTTAATAGCCTTCTTTAGCTGCTAATTAATATGAATTTGCTTTATTAAATACTTATTATAGTAGTRTTATTTTTGAAAATAATGAA